TTAGGCTTACAATGCTTTTGGGAAACACAGTCCTGCTATGCACAATCATGGTGGTTTGGGAGGTGTGACACTCTTTTTTTTCCCAGATCTGTTAAATTGTTCAAAATACTTTGAATTTAAATCATACAGGTTTATTTATTTATTTTCAGATTTTTCTCTTAATTGTCATTGACCCAAATCCAGCAGCTGACTGCTGTGGTAATGTTGGCAGATTTAGTATCACTATATTGTGCTGTTGCTTATGGAATGCATGAAATGGCTTTAGCTTTTATCATCTGCCAGAATTCTGGCTGTTTTTTGGCCTTATTAAAATTCACCTTTAGTGCCGTTTTTTTCCACTCGGTTTGGTAAAACAGAAAATAGCCTGCTTCCTTTACAGGGCTCATCTGAGCATGCTTTATCTAAAATGGTGTGGAGAGGTACTTACCCAATTGTTTGTGGATCACTTGGCAAGTCAAGAAAGAGACTGAATAAAGACTGGGATAGAAAGATGTGAAATTACTTTAGTAAAAATGAGCCAGCTAACAGTATTTACATAATTGGACACAGTGCTGCCCTGCTATTGGATTAGCCTATGAATATGCTAATGTCCGGAGATGGATGAGGGGGGTGGGTCTCGTGCCTTATCACTCTCCCACAAGCCCTCGAAGATGATGAACCTCTGTCCCGTGCTGCAGATTAGAGCACTTCAAACAGTGCAAGGGTCCCCTCTGGAGTAACGTGTTCAGATTTCAGAGCAAATTAGCAGACATCAAACAAGCAGGACGAGATGCTGGATCAAAGGAGAGACGCTCACAATCTTTGTCAGCGTACCAGCCGCTTTTGTAGTGTCACCAGTGACTGGGCCCTTCTGCGCTCATCCACTGTCCTCTGCGCTGTACTGTTCGTTCTTTCTTTCTTTCTTTCTTTCTTTCTTTCTTTCTTTCTTTCTTTCTTTCTTTCTTTCTTTCTTTCTTTCTTTCTTTCTTTCTTTCTTTCTTTCTTTTTTTTCTTTCTTTCTTTCTCTTGCTTGACACATTTGATAGATTTGACATTTTATTTTAATCCCCTTCTAAAACAAACACAAATCTAAAGGTCCTTGGACACTGAGTCCGAAATTCTCGTCTGAAATTTTCGTCCGTCATAAAAAAATTCCGATTTTTCACATCCGTAGCAAGCGTTTTGAGAGGTGTTTTGACAATTCAGAGCCACCGTACAAGCGAACGCCAAAATCCAGAACTGTTCAGGATCAATTGGTTCATGGAAATGGGTGGTCTTCTTTTTAATATGTGGCTCTAGTATCGCTAGCAAAGCATCAAACTGAGCCACTGACATCCTGAAGTAAACTTTGAATCGCTCGGGATAATCCCACAACTCCTTGATAAGGAGGTGGAACTCTCCTTCCTCCCTATGCAATCTCAGGATTGGATGGACCCAATATTTCCAATTTTTTCCACTTTTTAAGGAGAGAGAGGACAACAAAATCATCCACCCTGCTTGAAGACTCCATTTTGTATTGTTTTGCGAATTTTTTCCACAATGGATTAATTGAATACGCATGGGACTCGGTGTGCAAGGACCTTAAACCTACAGTACTTTTTTGGCTAATGCAGAGGTCCTCAGAGAAATTGTATCTTGTCTGAATAGAAATATCTGCTATTGTGGAATATTATTTATTAACTCTACTAATATTAATTCTACTCTTCATTTATTTTCACCTTCATCACGTAGCCTACCGTAACTAAAGCTAAAAAAGGTTTACCGCTTACAGTGCATGTCGGAACCAAAATGGCCATATCTGAATTCAGAGGCTTCCTCTGCACTTGTATACACAGTGATATGAACAGTATCACACGTTCGTTTTACCATATCAAGTCTTCATACTTGGTAGTGCATGCAAAGTGGATTTGCTTTCCCAGCACAGAAAACAGCGTCTTCTTGACGTGTTGACAACATGAGCCAAACTCTTTCAGGCCTCAGCTACAACTACAGTGTTTAGGGGCTTTCGCACTGAAGGAATCTTTTCATAGTTCCTAGAACTATTGGCGAAAGTACCCCGATTTTGGCGTGTTCGCGCCGCAGCAACTAGGAATGATTTTAGTTCTAGGAACTCCTTTTGGAGGAACTAATTTAGCTCCTACTTCAGAGTAGGGTCTAAACCAGCACTATAGGAACTACCAGTGACGCTAGTGTACGTACGCTGGTTGGCCGAATGCACACCAAACACCAGCAACCATCATTTAGCCTGCTCAGGCTCTGGCTGGCGTTCTCAGTGCCGTCAAAATAAAAGCCACAACAACAAGCGCGGCTTATGTTATTTCAGAGTTCCAACTGGCCGTGCGAATGCAACCAGGAAAATGTTCCTAAGGGAACCATTAGTTCTCGGGGAACCACCCTGGTGGCTAGTTCCTAGAACTAAGTTCCTAGAACTACCCGATGCGAAAGCCCCTTTTAAAAGCGGTAGGTTTTCAAAGTAGACGTTGGTTCTTACAGGAAGGAAGACTGGAATTACTGATGACTCGTTTCAGGCAGTTCAGATTCGCTACTTTCTTTTGAGAGACAAGAACTCCATTTACTGTGGACTTTGATCTTTGAAACTTTCCACACCTTTTACATTCACAAAGTGTGTATAACACACTACATGAAAGGTAATGTTTGAAAAAGCATAACAGGGGCACTTTAAAAAGTAAATTAAATTAATAAAGAGAGATAGATTTTGTAAAACCTAGTTAACATTAGAGATCCCGATTCTGCCCGATTCAGTAGATGAAATGATAAACGTCCTAAATTAAGAATAGTAAGCCAGATGTCATATATGAAACAAATCCCTTCTGAACAGCGCTCTAGGCTATTTTGCTCCAGTCCCCATGTGTCAGTCTCTTTTCTCTTTATCTCAAAATTGTTCTCTCTTTCTTTTGACTGTGGGGCAAGGTGAGACATGGCACAGGGGTTATTTGGGTAATGTGTGGGTGTATGAGGAAGGGGAGGGGTCTTCTTCCAGTTGCTGAGCACAATCTTGACCTCCAGCTATGCTCTGAAGTGCGGTTAATTTCACCCCTTGACACACAGCGGTCTGAATCTGCCCTGCTCAAAGCCCAACTGAACTCAGCGGTCTTAAGATGCTAACAAAGACAGCTGTGGCCAGGGGCAGTTTATGGATATACTTTCAAAAGAGCTGGAAGTGGAGATGCAACAATGATAGTGAGATCACAAACTAACTTGCTGATGAGTCATGCTGATTGATAATAGTAGAAGATTCTTGGGTTTAATATCTCAAAAACATACATAACATTGAAGTAACAAGGTGATACTTCATAAATTTTGCTAATATTTTGAGAGCTGATGTCCTCCATGAAAATAAAAACACACCAAGATAAAAAAAAAAGATTCACATGCTTATATTCTACACTCCTGTTTACATGGTACTCCGAAATCACACTGTAAAAAGTAATCTGCAATTGTTACTTTGAAGAACTATTTCTACCTGTACTGGTCTTTCCTCTAAATTTAGTTTTGTTGGTGTAACCTACCATATTTAGGTTGATTCTGTAATGTTGCATAACACTTTTAAAGGTGCTGTATGTAACTTTTTCACTCTACTAAAGCATAAAAATACCATAATATGTTTGCAGATTTAGGAAACATGCTGAGGTCAAATACTCGTTTCTCTGAAAAACACTTCTACAGCCAGTTATTTTACTTGGAAAAGTGCGTTCCGTGTTGGAATGACTGTTTTTGTTTTGGTCCGTGTAATCTTGCTCAACTTACAGTGTGTGTAAGTCTCCTCGGCTTTCATTGTCAATTCCGCTTGTTCCTGTTGCGTGTCCTCAAATTGGCAACCCGGGTGAGCGTCGAAGCGGGGGAAACAACGATATAAGCAACTGATGTTTCACAATCTCCGATATTTTTAATTTGGACAGCAGTACCTATTTCGACCACTAGCTGTCATTCTTACAAACTGCACCTTTAATTTGAATACAGTTCATTTAAATGTTACCGTATGTAGCATATTTTTTAGGTTACCGCTTTTTTAAGTAATTATATAATTTTAAGTAGTTATATCATGCCCAAAAAACATGCCATGTACCATGTTTTGTCATTGTGATATTGCAAAATTTATCAAAATGTCTTGCTATATTAAAATTAATTTCAAGAAAGACAGTTCAAGAAAGAAATTTAATATAAGAAAAAATCAGTTAGAATTGAAATTGACTTAATAATATAAATAGTGGTAGAGAGTTTCATAGTATATTACTGTTCTAGAAGGCTATTTTGACCATTTTTGAAGCAAGATCATTATTGAAGTGATTTCAAGAGAGAAAAACACCATTACAGCTCAGGATGACGGTCACAAGATTGTGTGTACTAGTCGACATGCTTGTTAGTTTCTGCTCGGTTACTGTGATATTGCATTTAGCCTGTGGCCTGTTGTAAAGCAGACTTCACACAGAATACTTTGTCTGCTGCGTTTCCGTGGCAACTAGGCAGAGATGTACATGGCTCGTCCCCTTATCATCAGGCGACACTCCTGTTCCTGCCCCAGGACAAAACACATCCCTGCAAATTATCATATCCATATACAGTAGATACACACACATTATATATGTAAAGGCCCGCATGACTACAGTGTTTTATCTATAGCTAACGTCCTGCTGCAATTACTACACAGACTCCATTAAATATATTCACCTTTATTTTTGCACATACTGATTTTTTTCCACACATTTGCTATTAGGATTATGGATGCCACAATGACATTTTAGTTTCGAATGAAATTAATACTTTTATTCAACAAGGGCGCATTAAATTGATCAAAAATGACAATAAAGACATTTTATAGTTACAAAAGGTGTTTTATTTCAAATAAAGGCTGTTCTAACTATTTGTCAAAGAAAACTGAAAAAAAAATGTATCACAGTTTTCCACAAAAATATTAAGCAGCACAACTGTTTTCAAAAATTACACAAAATTTACACAAAGGACGCACTCATAACTCGCCATGTGTCTTTGTTATTTTGCAGTGTTCATATCCTGTCTGGGAAGACTTCAGTGCCAAGGCCACCAAGCTGCACTCTCAACTCCGGTAAGTTCAGTCTCCGGCTCACATCCGCACCTGTCATGTGAAGACGGTTTTATTGAATGCTAAGAAAAGACAACGTCATCAATTTATCCCATTGGTTTTGTGCTTTTCAGAACCACCGTGCTAGCAGCAGTGGCCTTTCTGGATGCCTTTCAGAAGGTGGCGGACATGGCAACCAACACAAGAGGTATAGACACGATTACGGATGTGTGAGAGTGTGTGTGCAATTTCTGTCCAACTATGTGTGTGCGATTTCTGTATGTATATCCCATTATGAGGGTTATGCATAGCAGAAAACACTACTGGAGAGAGAGATACTGAGTGTCCAAAACAAAGGATTATAGAAGGGACAGAGCCAGACCCTCTAGATTTAATGCTCTCATTTGGCTGATGAAGTATGTGAGGATGTTTTTGTGTTAATTTTCGTATTTGTGTGCATGTAAGACAAAAGCTTAACTAACTTTATCAGCAAATAATTAAACACAACTCCATTATTCATCTTTATCTCTGGTGAGTTTTGAACAGTATGTTCACATGACAGAAATAAACATGACTATATTGGATAAATGAGAGGAAAGAAAGACGTGGCTCATAGCTGCAGAGTGTTTTTGGTTATTTACGGCATGATGCTTTTTTAATGATTTGACAGAGTCAAGATCTTCAAGGGGAATCAACTGATGAAAAAAGTTGTTTGGAAATAAACTACCAGCCTCATTATGATTATATTACTGTTTTGGGCTTTTTTCTCTTGGTTGGGGGATTTTCTCATTTCATCTTGTCTCGTGGCTTGCCTGAGGTAAAGACTGTGTTTGAAGGAGTATGATGATCTGCGTTATTATGGGTGCGTATGGGCATGTTGTGTTTTTAATGAGCTGACGGAGCTGGGAGCCTTCCCGTATGCCTTATAAAGGCAACAAGGATCGCATCCAATCCCACTTGTGACACAAGCTTCAGATGGAGGCTGTTGGGGTGCAAAAGGAAAGTGAGTGAGAACAATAAACAAAAGGAGCATTAAATAGTCAGAGGAACAAGGTTAAATGAAAGTGAGGCATTTTATTACAAACATTTTTACAGATAAATGCCCTTTTGTCTCATGCAGTGTTCAAAAATGTGCATTTTCTCAAGCTTTCATATATCTCTATGTAAAATATATGAATTAAATTCATACTCTCCAAAATTCATATCCACAAATCTGTGTATTATTTTCTAATAATATTAACTTCTCATCTTGAATAAATGGATTTTGTTGGTTTTCCATTTGCACATTTTTTCCCCCACTTGCTTTATGCTTAAACCTCAGTAAATGTTTTATTTTATGTCTTATATCTGGCCAATTCTCATGTTCACTGCTGAGTAACTCACTGCTCTTACCAGAATGAGACGGACAGATGCCAGTAATTTACAGATTGTATAACTTATTGATGACAGTATAGTTTTGTAGCACAGAGCTAGTGTCCTGGATGTATGGATTATGCTGCACATCACTCGTTTCTTCTTTAACACTTTTTGATATGCAAGCTTTTGCGTGATATTTCCTCTGTTGTGATTTAGACATGCATCAGCCCACATCCAGCCTTTGGCTCAGAATAGACTTAAAATGACTGTAGTTGAAAGGATGACAACAGCTTTCACAGATATACATTTCAGAATGATATGAACACCAATTGTTTTATTTTAGCAGCCAATAAAAGTGGATTAGGGAGATGTGGAGTATATAAAAGTGGGCTAGATAACCCGAGGGTTTAGCTCATGGCACAGGTGAGTGCTCTTAAACACAGGTTTCTCTATGGGAAGGAGGGGTCACGTACATTTTAAGTCTATTCTCAGTGATCATGTGACCTGATTGATGTCAAATTTGTTGAATGCCAAAAGGAGAATGGCCACCAAGCTCCGACACACCTCACTGGCACTTCAAAGAGAGAGAGAGAGAGAGAGAGAGTGCGTGAGACAAACAGACATAGTCTATGGATGTGACAGTATGTGTTGACCACAGGGCTGCTGAAAGATATTTTAAGACAGAGAGAGAAACAAAAGGAGAGAATATGAGGGCACGGTTGGGGTGTCGTGTAACAGGATAAAAGTCAAGTGAACTCTGAAAGGAGGATGTATCATAATGCATGCATCGCATTTATTTTTTGGAAAGTTTCATTCTAGCAGGGCCATCACCGGACAATCTGGAGTGTTGTGGGTGAAGGGACCCACAAAGGTCCTTAATGGGGCCCTGAGAATTATTATTATTATTATTATTTAACCATTACTTTGAAATATCAATGATCAAAACTGACTCTGAAAAGAATACAAACGCATCTCATATTTACAACCCAGGTTTATTGGAAAAAAAGTGTCTCTACCTACATTTAGTAAAATCCAAAAAACAAACCTGTACATGCAATTCAGTGCAGGTTCCAGCTGAAATTTCACATGGTTCTTGTACATTACTATGTTATGACCTCAAAACACTTTTACCACAGTGCATGATTAGCAAACTAATACATTTTGATGTTTGCATCGCATAATTAGCTCAATATGTCTGGCTTTTCTGACGCTTTCTAGTTCACCTGGTACAGCATTGCACTTATGATGCGGTGCGCTCAGGTACGAGTCTCGTGAAACACAAGTCATGAGAAAAGAGCTCAAAGACTTAAAGTGGCATGCTTGATTCAACCAGTTAATTTTTATCTCACGTTTGCTTTTGTTAACTCCTAACTGTTGGTTAGGTTTAGGGTAGGGTTTAGTGTTGGTGGTATGTTATTTTCAAGCACAATAGAGCATTAAACTTTTAGTGACACTCACCAGACATTTCATTTCTAAACTGCCACGATATGCACAACAACCAATATAATAAAATGTTGCCAGATTCACGTTCATCCATTTCAGATAAAACTGACAGTGCTTTTAGTGCCACTCACTAGACATTTCACTTTGCATCACACAAAAAAGTGTAAAAAGCAATGTAAAATTATTTTGCAGAAATGTTGCCACAAGCACATTTTTTCCAATGAATTGCATATTCATGTTTAGCTGGTAAGGTTTATATTTGGGACAAGTTTCACCCCCTCCCCATCACAGCGCCACAGACTGCCACGAAGCAATGAGGAGGGGATGGCTGTGAACCGCAACGAAACGGAAGCAAACACACAAACACAACCGCACACACACACACAAACACACTCCAGGCCTTCATCCTCTCAATGGGGGTACACCGCTATACTGAGGGAGGAAACTGAAGCTTCCTGCCAGTAACTGCCTATAATCTGCTTCTCATTTACTTTCTTTACTGTTCTTCTTCCTTCAGCTCATCCTCCTCTTCTCCTGCTGAGATTGAGTCTAGCCAACTCTCTTCATCACCAGCACTTTTTCTTGTGTTCTCACATTGGCTATAAAATTACTTAAAGGGATAGTTCACCATGAAATGAAAATTATGTCATCATTTACTCACCCTCATGTCATTCTAAAACTTTCTGTGGAACCTAAAAAATATATTTTAAAAAAGGTTGGGTTTTTTTTTTGTACTCAGTGAAAGCCGCTGGGGTCCAGTGTTGTTTTGGACCCCTTTAAGTTAAATTATTCAGACAAACCAGTCAAGAAACATCTTCCTTTGTGTTACACAAAGTCATACAGGTTTGGATGACTAAAGTCATACTGTTTTAGATGACAAAATTATGATAAAGTTTTCATTAACCATTTAGGATAATGGTCTCACACTGTCTCCTTTAAGGAAAATTATTGGCTTTTTCACATGTGTACAATAAGTGGCAGGGGAAAAGAACACAACATTGGGAGGCCTAGATAATAATCTTGTTCTGTATAGACGGATTCAGTGGAGGGAGTCTGGCTGTGTGTGTGTGAAAACCCTAATTCATGAGCCAGAATCAAAACAAAAAGTGCTTTGGCTTGTCCTCTCGATCTTCCTCTCGGCCTCTCACTCTCTCTTTCTTCTCGCGCTCAGTCTCTCACACAGAGACTCTCTTTCCCACTCTGTTCTTGGCTGTGGTGGGAATAAATGTTGATAGATCACAGTCTGTCCTGGAAGCCTGGCACGGGAGCTCGTAAAAAAAGGCGTTCTGCAGATGTGTGCGCGGCGCAGAAGGCTCGTCCGACGCTTCATAGTGGTGTTTTACTGCCCTGCCTGCATGAGCGGAATAGTAGCAACCATAATGAACATCATAAATCTGATTCATACACCAGGGGGCAAAATGGCTGCCCCTCATAGTCAAAGAGAACATGAAAAAAAAAAGTCTGCCAGCTCAGCAACCGGCAAGCTATTTGGAGGATCAGTTTGTGTGTCTGAGTGTTTGTGTGTGTGATGGGGGTCAGTATTTCCCCAGATGTTTTAAGTAGACTGGTGTAGGCAGCAGGGTGTTACCATTCACACGGCCGTGTAAGCAAACACCAGCCAAACAGTCTGAGAGGAACATTCTCAGTCGCCTTAACACGTCTATTTCTGATAGGGTCTAGTGTAGATTTTCAAGGCACACTCTATAATATCAATAAGAGATAGTAAATTCTGCTTAAAGTGGTACACAAATGTATATGTAAAACCAGAGGAGCACCTTAGCCATCATTTTAGTGTAAGAACAAAACACCAATGTATGACCAGCTGTGCTTAACACATGGGGATGGCCTTCAAAAGTAATTAATGATCAATTAGTAAAACTGCAATGGAATTGTTTTAATAATTAGCCGATTCTTTCTGAACTGTTATTGTCTTGCTCACATTGCATTACTTTTGTATTTCTTAAGGTTTCTAGACTCCATTTTGATCTTTACTAGATAAAATTGGAAGGATGGACATTATCCATTGTGATACATTCAGGATGTATTAATTCAATATTAGTATTATTAACATAACATAGTAAGGCATTTATAGAACTTAGACTGGTCTTTAAGCACAGCTTAAAACTATACACTGCTGTTCAAAAGTTAGAGGTCAGTAAGATTTAAAAAAAAATGTTTTAAAGAAATTACAGAAAAATTAAATCGATAATAAGTGACAGAAAAGACTTACAATGTTAAAAAACAATCTATTTTAAATAATCATGAAATAATTCATGAATGTAGTCCTACATTTATGCAATCTTTAGATTAATAGCATTTAGAAGCATTTATAGCATTCTTTAGTTCTCTCATTTGTTCTGCTTCATGAATGTAAAGCATGTGTGTGTGTGTGTGTCAACCAAATGAAAG